TCCCCAAGTTCGAGACCAGCCTGGGCAACATGGTGAGACCCCGTCTCTACAATAAATCAAAAAATTAGCTAGGCATGCATGGTAGCTTTTGCCTGTAGTTTCGGCTACTTGGAAGATTGAGGTGGAAGGATCACCTGAGCCCAGCAGGTCAAGGCTACGGTGGCCGGAGTAGCTTGGGCGACAGAGTGAGATTTCAACTCAAAAAAAAAAAAAAAAAAGATAAAAATAAAAGGAAGGCCAACACACAGGTTTCACAGACCTTCCATGTCATTTAGAAAGCACAGCACATACCTAAGGAGTTCAGCAAAGCTGACACATGAACTTTCTGGATTGAGGAATCCCATCAAAAAAGGAGGAAACCAGCCGGGCTTGGTGGCTCAGCCTGTAATCCCGTGCCTTTGGGAGGCTGAGGTGAGTGGATTGCCTGAGCCCGCGGGTTCGAGACCTGCCTGGGCAGGCGAGACCTCATCTCTACAATAAAATTAAAAAATTAGCCGGGCGTGGTAGCGCGCCTGTAATTCTGGCTACTCGGAAGGCTGAGGCGGAAGGATCGCCGGAGCCCAGCAGGTCGAGGCTGTGGTGGCCGGGAGCGGCCACTGCACTCCAGTCTGGGCGACAGAGTGAGACTCCGACTCAAAAAAAAAAAAAAAAAAAAGTAAGAAGGAAAAGAAACCCAGATGATGATAAACAAAAGGGCTTATTTCTAGGTTCTCAATTCTATTCCATTGATCTATACATCTATCCTAATGTAAGTTTTTATTCCCTTATAGCTATATTTTATTATAGACATATACATGTAAGTTTTTAAATCTTGAAGTTTAGGACTTCTAACTTCGATTTTCCTCTTCAGGACTGTTTAGGTTTTTCTGGGTCCCTTGCATTTTCTAACACTGAATTTTAGGATCAAGGTTGTCAATTTCAGTCAAACCTGCACATCATAAGATTCATGTGAGAATCACATGTGAAGGCACAGGATAAATTAAGGAATTGGCTGTTTTTTATCACACCTATTAAGTCTGGTACCTCCCTTGGATGAAGAAAACTCCTGGAGGCCGGGCCCAGTGCCTCACACCTATAATCCCAGTACTTTGGGAGGCTGAGATTAGAGAATTGCCTGAATCCACAGGTTCAAGACTGGCCTGGGCAACTTGTCAAGACCTCGTCTCTACAATAAATTTTTTAAAAATTAGTCTCTACAATAAATAAATAAATAAATTAGAACGTCTATAGTTCTAGCTACTTGAAAGGACGAAGTAGAAGGATTGCCTGAGCCCAGCAGGTCAAGGCTGCCGTGGCAGTGAGCTTGCCACTGCACCCCAGCCTGGGTGGCAGAGTGAGACTCCGACTCAAAAAAAAAAAAAAAAAGAAAAAAAAAAAGAAAGAAAAAACTCCGTGGATTCCACCTTCAAAGGTTTTAAAGCCACACTTAAAAAAAGAAAAGAAAAATAACAGCAAATGAATAAAAGTGAAACTCTGTAAAAAGAAGTGGGAATTGGAGATGATTGCCACTTGGAGACTAGAGTCTCAGTGTACTGGAGGAAGTGGTGGGATTTTACAATGTATCACGAGGTAGAGGAGGGAGCATGTTGAAGCAGCAATAAAGTTAAAATCAAGATGTGGCAAAAGCCTGGAAACAGCACTGTGCAAGATGCATAGTCTGTCTGAACGGGGGAGTGGGGTGGTGAAACATAATTGTTCAACCAATGGGCTAAGGGACTAGAAACTGGGTGTGATGGCACTGAAAGGATCCTACCAAAGCCTCAACCAGACTCACCACCACCATTGCAACAAGACATATGCTCTGGCATTGCAACACTAACGAAGTCTTTTTGAACCCCGCAGTATCACTAGATGGCGCCATCAACACAGCAAAGAACCTGCAGCTCCTGATGGGAGACCCATCAGAAGCCGACCTTTTCCCCCACAGGGGTTTCCCACCTTCCCTGGGAAGGCTTTTTGAGTCTCCTCCCTTCTACATATTTTTGCTATTGACCCTGAAGTTTCTGAACCTTTGAGATTCCTGAAACAAAGGACATGAAAGAGACACACACCCTGAAAAAAAGTCTTATGAGAGTCTGGGTTTGGCGGGGCCAATATAGGAATACAGGTGGGGTCTCCAGCCTGCCTGGATCAAATCTCCCCCCCAACCCCTCCACCCGCACCCCCCACTGCCCTCCCGTGGAAGCAAATGGAGAGGGCTTGTGACACACCACTCAGCGGCAGCCCCCTCCAAGCCCCAATTTCCGGCTCACTCACTGCCTGGTCTGTTCCCGGTTGGAATAGGTGACATTCACCACTGCCGTCTCACTCTCCGTGTTCACTGCAGAGAAAACAGACCAGCATGACAGCAGTGACATCTGAAGGCCCCAGTGAATCTCCAACCCCAGCATTCCATGTTTTGAGGGCAAGAAGCATCTAGCAGAGACCCCGGCATATAAAACGCTTGAATGAATGAATGGATGAATGAATGAATGAAAGACAAAAATCATCTCCCCCTTCAGGTCCCTTTTACCATAGCTACTGGAAAATTCAAATTCTCAACTTTCTTTTTTGCTTTCCTGTTTTTCTTTTTCCTTTTGTTTTTGAGTCGGGGTCTCACTCTGTCACCTAGCTGGAGTGCAGTGGCACGATCATGGCTCACAGCAGCTTCAACTTCCTGGGCTCAAGAGATCCTCCTGAGTAGCTGGGACTACAGGAATACACTACCATGCATGACTGGCTAATTTCTTCTTCTTTTTTTTTTAGAAACAAGGTGTCACTGTGTTGCCTAGGCTAGCCTTGAACTCCTAGGCTCAAGCAATCCTCTGCCTGGGCTTCCTAGAGTGCTGGAATTACAGGTGTGAGCCACTGTAACTGTTCCTGTTTTCCTTTTATTATTTTATTTCCTCTCCCTGTCCCAAGAGTGGATACACACAAGGGTGTAGCTGCCCTATCCCCAGTTATGCAGGCAAGGGGACCACCATCCACCTATGCACACAAACACACACACCTACACACCTGGGTGCAACTGTTCCCTTGGAAAGTTAAACTAGTTGAAAACCAATACACTGGGTGAGATTAGCAATTTATAGAAGTAAACATCTTGGCCAGGCACAGAGTGATTCACGCCTGTAATCCCAGCACTTTGGGAGGCTGAGGAGAGAGAATTGCCTGAGCCAGCGGGTTTGAGACCAGCCTGGGCAACTTGGCAAGATCTCATCTGTACAATAAGTCCAAAAAAAAAAGCTGGGGCATAGCACACACCTGTAGTTCTAGCTATTGGAAGGTTTAGCCAGCAGATTGATGCTGGCGTGGCCACAAGCATGCCACTGCACTCCAGCCTGGGCGACCCAGTGTGACTCCAACTCAAAAAACAAACAAAAAAAGTAAACATCTTCTGCAAAGATGACTGAGGAGACTTGAGGAACATCAAGATCCATTTTAGAGGCCTAAGTATCCTGAAGTACAAAAACCAATGGGTACTGAGACCCAGCTAAATGGACTGACAGGAGTGGCTGCTGTAGAGTCTAGAAAGGAATAAAAAAGTCTGCAAGTTTTCTCTTTTTTTTTTTGAGTCGAAGTTTCACTCTGTTGTCCAGTCTGGAATGCAATGGCATGCTCACAGCCACGACAGCCTACTGGGCTCAAGCAATCCTTCTACCTCAGCCTTCCAAATAGCTAGAACTACAGATGCACACCACAACTTCCGGCTAATTTTTTGATTTATTGTAGAGACGAGGTCTCACCAAGTTGCCCAGGCTGGTCTCCAACCCGTGGCAATCCTCTCACCTCCACCTCCCAAAGTGCTGGGATTACAAGCGAGAACCACTGTGCCCGGAATATAGGTTTTCTAGGGCAAAGGTCTCCCTGCCTCGGACGTGGACACATTGGGCTACCATAGCTGCCAGATACTATCCACTAAGCCTATCCAAGTCCATGGTTCTGACTAGGAGCACCCTTTGGGCTTTTAATTTGATTTTCCATCTACTCTTTCCTACAAAGGAGAGGGTTCGCAGCAGATATTAGAATACCCAACAACCCAGGGATTTCTCACTTTCACGTAGTCTAAGTAACCTTCTGTCTTAGGCATCAGTGTCTTGAGAATTTGGGCTTGTTCAACCCTAGGGTTGGGGACCCTGACTTAAGTCTCTGCCCAACAACAGAGGGAGATGAAGCACTTAGTCACAAAACTCCAGTGCAGACCATTCATAAGCCTACTGGCCTGCATCTGCAGGGCTCTCCCACCCCAGTGGTGAGGAAGGCTCTTCAAGGACAATCGTTCAGCTATTAGAAATGCAGGTAAACCAACAAAACTGCTGCCTTCTGGGGCTTCCAGTTTAGTCCAGGACAATAGGCATAATAAATAAGCTTCTATAAGTTCTATGGAATATTTGACACTGACAAGTGCTATGGAGACAAACAGGCCAACAAACAGGATCCCCCTGAGCCCAGCACATCGAGGCTGCAGTGGTCAGGGACATGCTACTGCATTCTGGCCTGGGCAACAGAGTGAAACAAAACAACAAAACAAAACAGACTGCAGTGAGCCGTGATCATGCCTGAGACCCCGACTCAAGGGGAAAAAAAAGGAAGTGACATTCCAGCAGACACAAAGACATCCTCTATTGTCCAAAGTCAACCTTTTCCCATCCTGTTCTCTCCAGGCAACAGATACCCTTCCAGATACGATGCTTCAGCTCCCTGGTGGGCTTGGATAAATTTAAACTGGTGTTGACTCGGGCTGTGGCTCTCGGTGAAACTCAGTATGCACTTACTCCCAAGCTGCCGCTCAATCTCCCTCTCTGTTTGTTCAGGAGCAACTTGTTCATTAGTCTATGCTGGGAACAGTCCTGGGCAACAGTTATCACTGAGTTCAGTTGTCTCCTGGCACTTATGATCAAAGGCAAGTGACAGGACTCAAGCAGGTGGAAACCCACTGGGTAGAACCAACACTTCACTATGGGACAGGGCAAAGATCTCCATCACATAGAATCAGTTATAGTTTGCCTCTTTTCACAAGGAATTTGGAGATGAATGTTTAAATCTCAAAGAAGGCTGGGCACAGTGCATCACGCCCCTAATCCCAGCACTTTGGGAAGCTGAGGAAGAAGAATCACTTGATCCCAGAAGTTCGAGACCAGCCTGAACAACACGGCAAGGCCTCAACTCTATGAAAAATTTTAAAAATTAGCCTGGCAGGGTGGCGTGCACCTGTAGTACCAGTTAATCAGGAGGCTGAGGCAGGAGACTCACCTGAGCCCAGGAGGCCGAGGCTGTGGTGAGCTGTGATCATGTTGCTACTGAACTCACTCCAGCCTGGGCAACAGAGTGAGACTGACTCAAAAAAAAAACAAACAAAACTCTCACACTAAGTGATTAGCTGTTTGTTTCTTGGAGATCTCCAAACCTAAAGTAGTATCTCACCTACCAAAAGACCACCTTATGTCCATGCGTAACCACTCCATATTGTATTTAAACTCATTTCTTCGGAAAATAACTTACAATCCTAGGAATGGAGGAGCCTTAAAAAAATTATAGCAAGCTCTTTCCTTGTCATTTCTTATTCTGTGGGTTCATTTTCCAAAGATTTTGCCTACTCATCAAACTCTATTAGTGAAGTAATAATAAACTCTGCTTTTTAGCTGACAAAAAAAAATGTAGCTGCCAATCAGAGCTTCTAAAAATCAATAATCAATAATTAAATAATCAAATCAAATGATCAACAACCAGTTGATTATTTCAGTCAAAATAAAGAATTGTGAGCCGGGCTCGGTGGCTCAGCCTTTGGGAGGTTGAGGTGAGTGGATTGCCTGAGCTCGCGGGTTCGAGACCCGCCCAGGCAGCAAGACCTCATCTCTACAATAAATCAAAAAATCTGCCGGGTGTGGTAGCGCATGCCTGTAGTTCCGGCTACTCGGAAGGCTGAGGCGGAAGGATCGCTAGAGCCCAGCAGGTCGAGGCTGCGGTGGCCGGGAGTGGCCACTGCACTCCAGTCTGGGCGACAGAGTGAGACTCCGACTCAAAAAAAAAATAAATAAATAAAGAATTGTGAAGCTTTTATAGTAAAAAGACTACAGAGTTACTTAGGATGAATGCACAATTTCTGTCCTTAAAACTGTTTCTAGCCAGGCTCGGAGGCTCTGCCTGTAATCCTGCGCTTTGGGAGGCCGAGGTGAGTGGATTGCCTGAGCCCGCGGGTTCGAGACCTACCTGGGTAACTTGGCGAGACCTCATCTCTACAATAAATCAAAACTTAGCCGGGCATGGTAGCACGCGCCTGTAATTCCAGCTACTTGGAAGGCTGAGGCAGAAGGATCGCCAGAGCCCAGCAGGTTGAGGCTGCGGTGGCCGGGAGCGGCCACTGCACTCCAGTCTGGGTGACAGAGTGAGACTCCAACTCAAAAAAAAAAAAAAAAAACTGTTTCTAAAATCTTGGGGCATCCATTTCTAATCTACCCTGGTTCATCCCTAAGAGCCTGGAAAATGAATGACTTTGCTCAATCCTCCATAAAACAGAAACGAAACCAGTCCCAGAGCCATGCGGCAGAGCCAAAACCAGGGTCAGGGGTTCGAGTCGCCAGCCCAGTCTGCTTCCCTGGATGACACATTTTGTCTGTCTCCTTCAAGCCTTCTGGGTAGGTTTGATCATGTAACATTTGCACAGCAGAGCACATGCTGGACCCCCATCCCTCACCCGCCCCTGTCTTACCTTGCTCGCAGTTCTCCACTGTACCATACTGAGCCAGCAGGCTGTCCAGTACCTAGCAGAGTGGGGACGAGAGGAAGGCTGCTCTGAGTATCGCAGGACTATCACAAAGCAGCCACTGAAGACCCAAATCCCGGAGCCATGGGGACAGAGCACGATAACTTGTTCAGTTTGCCCTTTCTGGGGTGTGAATGCTGATGGGGCATTGTTGCGAGAATGTACTTGAGCTCTGCATTAGGGGCCTTCTGGAAAGCAGATCTGGGCCGCCTGGGTCCCTAAATCAACTTCCACCATCACCAAGTGTAGGGCTCAGGGAACATCGTTCCCACCTCTCTTATGCCTCTCACCATAGGGACAGCCAAAGGGATGAAGTCCTGGGGTAAGGATGCGAACGAGGAGGGGACATCCCTCGCCTGGCCAGGCCCCAGACCAGGAGGGCCCGCCCCAGTCATTTCTGCCAACTCAGGTAGAGCCAACCTTAATTCCCAGGCTCCACTACCCACTCGCATTGTGAGATGCCCCCAAACACTTACTTCCCATCGGAGCTGAGGTGGAATGTTTCGGATCTGAATTTTCCGGCTCCTGAAATTCAAGAAGAAACAGAGTTAGAGAAAGTTCTAGATGCCTTAGGGCCCTGTGACCTCACAGTTTCTGTCCCAGTTTTTATCTCCCTGCCTTCTGCTCACCCACACCAAAATCTTACAATCTCAGAATGATAATCCTTTAGAAATGGAGATTTGGAGTAGGGATGTCTCAATTTAGAGACAAAATTATCACCAATGCAACAAGGATAGGAACGCAGAATCAAACGCTGTAAACGTTCAGGTAACAGAATTCCCTAAATAAATAAATAAATAAATCACAAGCCAGGAGCGGTGGCTCACGCCTATAATCCCAGCATTTTGGGAGGTCGAGATGAGAGGATTGCCTGAGCTCATGAGTTCGAGGCCAGCCTGAGCAACATGGTGAGACCCCATTACTACAATAAATCAAAAAGTAAGCTAGGTGTGGTAGCGCTAGCCTGTAGTTCCAGCTACTTGGAAGGCTGAGGTGGAAGAATCGCCTGAGCCCAGCAGGTTGAGGTTGCAGTGGCCGTGACTGTGCCACTGCACTTCAGCCTGGGTGACAGAGTGACACTCCGACTCAAAATATATATATATATGTATATGTATACATATATATATATACATATACATATGTATATATATTATACACATATAAAATCACAATTGCTGGCTGGGTGTGATGCCTCACACCTGTAATCCCAGTATTTTGAGGCCCAGACAGGAGAATCACTTGAACCCAAGAGCTGAAGACCAGCCTGGGCAAACATAGCGGGGCAACATAGCGAGACCCCATTGCTCCAAAAAAGGAGCCTGCTGTGGTGGTACATGCTTATAGTTCCAGCTACCTGAGAGGCTGAGCTTCAGCGAGCAGTGATCATGTCGCCGCACTGCAGCCTAGGTGACAGCGAGTGTCCAACTTAAAAACAAAACAAAACACAACTGCTTTGTCTCACAACTTTCTCACTCATTCCTTTATTCAGAAAGTATGATATTGTCGCCATGTCCTGGGAACTAGGAATACAAATCTAAATGAGGCATCATTAATTACCAATTAATCTAACAACTATTTAATTGGTACCTACTTCACACAGTACTTGGAGCCAGCAGAAGCTGGGGATAAAGCAATAAACAGAACACAAAGCCTGGCCTCGAGGTGCTTGAAATTTATTAAGGGTGATGATACATGCAAAAGTTACGGCAGGATAATAGCGCAGTGGTTAAGCCCTTGGCACAGATATGGGTTTAAACCTACGCTCCACTTACTAGCACTGATCTTTAAATGAGTACATAACTTCTTTGCGGTCCAGTTCCCTCCTTCGGTAAAACAGGGATAATGCCTTTTCACAGGGCGGTAGGTGATATTAGATAATGTTTATAAAGAGCTTAGCAAAAAGCTGGGAGCAAGTACTTAAAGTGTAACAGTAGATGCATCTGTGAATAGGAAGGTGGGAGTGATTAACGCACACACAACTCAGCGGAATGACCACTACCTTCCCTGCTCCAAGTTAATGATACCAGCGCTTTTTCCTTCCTACCTTGGAAAAGACTCTTAAAAATGTAATTTTTCTGGGCACGGTAGCTCACACCTCTAGACCCAACACTTTGGGAGGCTGACGTGAGCCTCAGCAACATTGCAAGACCTCAGCTCTACAAAAAATAAAATCAGCCGAACATGCTAGTACATGCCTATAGTCCCAGCTACGGGGAGGCTGAGGCAGAAGGATCGCCAGAGCCCAGAAGTTGAAAGTGCAGTGGGCCATGATCATGCCACTGCACGACAGCCTGGGCAACAGATACCCTGTCTTAAAAAGAAAAGGCCGGACGTGGTGGCTCATGCCTGTAATCCCAGCACTTTGGGAGGCTGAGTTGAGAGGACTGCCTGAGTCCAGGGGTTCGAGACCAGCCTGGGCAACTTGGTGGGACCTCATGTCTACAATAAACCAAGAAAAATTAGCTGGCCACGGTGGCACATGCCTGTGGTTCCAGCTACTTAGAAGGCTGGGATAGAAGGACCGCCTGAGTCCAGCAGGTCCAGGCTGCGGTGGCCATGAGCATGTCACTGCACTCCAGCCTAGGCAGCAGAATGACACTCCAACTCAAAAAAAAGAAAAGAAGAGAAAAGAAAAAACTAAAGCCGGGCTCGGTGGCTCAGCCTGTAATCCCACGCCTTGGGAGGCTGAGGTGAGTGGATTGCCTGAGCCCGCAGGTTCGAGACCCGCCTGGGCAACTTGGTGAGACCTCATCTCTACAATAAATCAAAATGAGCCAGGTGTGGTAGCGCGCGCCTGTAGTTCCAGCTACTTGGAAGTCTGAGGCAGAAGGATCTCCGGAATCCAGCAGGTCGAGGCTGCGGTGGCCGGGAGCAGCCACTGCACTCCAGTCTGGGCGACAGAGTGAGACTCCCACTCAAAAAAAAAAAAAGAAAAGAAAATACTAATTTTCCCAAAGGAAGGCTTTCGGGTTCAGGGTCAACTTCCAGAGCAGCTGCTCGCCACCCAAATTAACGCCCTACTCCCTGGGTTTAAGACTTCTAATTGAATGGGTTGCTCAACTATCATTTACATCACTGTATAGTCTTGATCACAAAAGCTTAGATCAAGAATAAGGTCCAACAAAATTCTGCTAGCTTGAAGGAAAAATGATTTAGAAAGGAAAAAAGTCCAGCACTTCACCTGTCCTGATGGCTATTTGTCTGACTAAGCCACTTGAGCTTCAGGCCTCAGTGTTCCTGATATGCCATAGACGGAGCCAGCCCTTACTAACTGGAGAGAGGAGGTTGAAAACATAAGGGACCAGGCAAAAGGGATGCTAAGCTCTGGCTGTAAACGTGTTAACCTTGGCTGTCCTGGGCCAGTTCACTCACTTCATCCCCATGACTTCAAGTGTGTCCAGCTGTAAAATGGAAACAGTAAGCTGGGCGCGGTGGCACACGCCTGCAATCCCAGCACTTTGGGAGGTCGAGGAGAAAGGACTGCCTGAGTCCAGGGGTTCGAGACTAGCCTGGGCAACTCGGCAAGACTTCATCTCTACAATAAATCAAAAAATTATCCAGACATGGTGGCACGCACCTGTAGTTCCAGCTACGTGGAAGGCTGAGATATTAGGATCACCTGTGCCCAGCAGGTTGAGACTGTGGTGGCCACGAGTGTGCCACTGCACTCCAGCCTGGGTCACAGAATAAGACTCCTACTCAAAAAAAAGGAAACAGCAGAGTCTCTAAGAGTCCTTAGGGTAGAGTCTCACCCACAAAATATGTGAATGCAATCTCTTCCTGCAATGACATAATTTGGAGAAAGCAGGATTAAGTGTCTGTCTATGGCCTCTTATTTGGTGTGTTCATGAACTTGACCTAAGGAGGTCAGATTATAGCAGGACAAAATAGAAAGATACAAATCCAGTGCCTGGTCTCCAGATCCCACTAGGCCAGCTTTTCGGGATCCAATTCCTTGGCCAAAGAGGGAGCCCCACAACTGTTCCTACAACTCATCTGACACCAAATGAACAGACTAAACTGCAGGAACCCTTCCACTGAAAGTCAAGCTGCTGGAGACCTGGAGAAAGGAAATGACTGGAAGCCGGAGAACACTGACCCAGCTGGACAGGTATCGCCCACGCCCAGGCCCTCCCTCAACGGAACGCTTTTGGAAAGAGGGCTTTTGGAAAGAGGGCGGGGAGGTGGAGGCTGACTGCCTGGGGGTTCCAACCCACAAGGGCCTAAAAGCAACCCCCTGCTTAGGAGCCCGGTTTGAAGTGTGCTCTTTCAGGATGGTCCCTTAGAAGATCTAAGGTCAAAGGTCAAAATTCCCTCTAACTTCAAACTCCCCGCGTTAGGGGCTTTCTTGTCATGGCAGGGAGGGGGGAGGGAGAGGGTTGGCACTGGTGAAATCAAATCTCTGCTGGGATGTTAATCCATATCCTGAAAGCAATGGCAGGCAGATCGTCTGGAATGTCTGGAATGTTCCAGGAGAGGGAGGGGAGAGGAGGGCAGGGCCACCCAACCAATGAAAGAAGAGACCTCCTGGCAGCCCTCCCCCAACCTCACAGCAGAGACTCACCCAGCCCTCCAGGGCACACACCCCACCCTGGGAACCCACTCCAGGGCCCTCGGGCCTCCTTTCAGCAAAGCCCCCCAGGCCTGATTAAAACACAACGGGGAGGGTAGGGAGGCACCGCAGACACGAGGAACCTTTGTCTCTTAAGCCCTTGGCCTGGTTTCTATTAAGTATGGTGCTACCTAATTTCTTTCAGGCCCAAAGCACATGGGACATTGCTGAGAACTATGACCTGTATTCCCTTCCTTGGATCTGGTCTCATTCATCCCACAGACACTGACAGAAGGCCTGGAAGGGCTGGGCTAGGGCTGTGCTGAGGCCTGCGGACGTCCAGCTGAAAGCCAAGAGCACCCTCACTGGTTCCGTTTTCGTTTTGTACCTCAGCCGCCTCCAGTGGACCTTGGAGAAGGCTTTTCGGAGGACTTGGGAGGCAGGGTGCCTGCCATGTTGCAAGCGTTCAATCCCCACCCCAGTCCCAGGTGGCTGTAGGTGTCCTGACCAGCATGTAAACAGGCAGGCAGGTAGGGCTGACTATGAGCTTGGTGAGATAGCAACGATTGCTTAAAAAGCATTTTTTTTTCCTGTCGGAGTCTCACTCTGTTGCCCAGACTGGAGTGCAGTGGCATGCTCATGGCTTACCACAGCCTTGACCTCCTGGACTCAGGTGATCCCTCCACCTCAGCCTCTCAAAGTAGCTAGGACCATAGGCACATGCTACCACATCCAGCTAATTGGTTGGTTTTTTTTTTTTTGAGTTGGAGTCTCACTCTGTCGCCC